AATGTATCTGTCCTCAATCGTCTGCAGAAAGTCCAGAATGCCGCTGCAAGATTTCTTTCAAATACAAATAGACGCTGTCACATCACTCCCATTCTGGCTGATCTACACTGGATTCCTGTGCATTTTCGAGTACAATACAAAGTTCAAACTTTTGCCTACAAAGCCCTGAATGGTCCAGCCCCCGTATTCATGTCAGAGTTGCTCACCCCTTGCTCAAAGTCCCTAAAATGAAGTATGAAGCTCGTGGGGAGCGTGCGTTCGCCTTTGCTGCTCCCAGACTCTGGAACGCACTCCCTCTGGTGGTACGCCAGGCTTCCTCACAGGCACAGTTTAAATCCAGCCCAAAGACACATTTTTTTTATTTAGCTTTTGGCCAATTATCGTTCTTTTATGCTGTGCCTTTGTTTTGTTTTTTGTAACTTCTGGTTTTATTGATTTCTGTTTTCATTGACTTCATTGATTTGATTTCATTGCTTTTATTGGCTGTTTAAAATTTTGTTTTGTTTTTAGGTGTTTCTATTTTATGACAGTTTTTAATTGTGTTTTATGTATATGCATGTGATTTTGAATGGCTTTTTAGGTTTATCTCTGTGCAGTGCTTTGGTCAGCTGACATGCTGTTTTTAAATGCGCTATACAAATAAAACTGGAATAGATTGAAAGAAAGGATATACCGTATTTTCCAGACTATACGCCGCTACTTTTTCCCACGCTTTGAACTATGCTGCTTATAATGAGGTGCGGCTTTATTCAACCAGAACTGATGGATGCTAGAAAGTCTAATGAAGGAATGGTTAAAGGAGTGCTACGGAAAGCGCCCAGGAGGATTTTTTCACAGTAAAACAGCGCTGCTCGTTTTCCCAGCTTCACCCCGGGATGATGACAGCGACGCGGACATCGCCACAGAAAAGGTATGTGACAAAGCTCTTCTGAGGCTGTTCAACTCCGACACTGAAGAAGATGATGACTTCAGTGGTTTCAGTGCGCAGGAGGACGATGAATATTCTAATCAATAACTTTTCTGTTTTGTTTGATACTGATCAGTTCAGTTACGTTCAGTTAAACTACGTTTTCAATTCAGTAGATATCTGCGGCTTTTAGCCCGGTGCGGCTTATATTGAGGTGCGCTCTATAGTCCAGAAATTACGGTATTTCAAGGCCAAATGTTCAAGATTACTTTCAAATTCTTTAAAAGTGATTATCTCTGCAGCTTTGCGTTCTGTTAACATCCAAGACTCTTCCTCTCAGAGTTATTAGCCAACTCAAAAGACTTTTTCCCTGTAGGCTAAAATGTTAGAAGCTAAGGAGACACCGACATGCCCAAGCTCATTTTTGTTTTCCCAGGAATGTGAACTCTGGCGGGCTTTTAGCCTGCCATGTGGAGCTTGTGAACCTGGCACATTTCACATCCTCTTACAACACCAAATATTTAACATCAGTACCCTTAGCAACAAGCTTTAAAATTAAACAGTAACAAAAGTTTTTCAATGAAAAGAAGCCTAATTTAAAACAGCTGTCTCACACATGGACATGTCCGACCAACATCACCACACAGACCGCTTCCAAACGCTGCTTTCCAAATAGTATAAACATGCAAAAGTTCCTGAGAAACGAGTGCGTTAAAGATGAATCACAGCATGACACAGACAGTCCATGAATCAGCAGGTCCTCAGTGGTTCCAGCTGGTTAAAAGCACGGGAGACAACCAAACCAGTCCTGAGATTGTTTCCAACATGAAGACAAAAGAAAGTCAAGCTTCCATTCCATGGAACTGCCAAAAACACAGATCGTTAGGACTGTGTAGATTCCCCATTTAATCGATGCATCACAATGTGACACCTACCGATTCAAAATCGATTTGTAAACGTTCAAGTTTAATTTATACTTCTCCGTCCACGTATGGACGGAGACGTTTTGCCCTCATACTTCTCCGTCTCGGGCTGCGCAGTGGCGCAGTGGTTAGAGCTGTTGCCTTGCAGCAAGAAGGTCCTGGGTTCACTTCCCGGCCTGGGATCTTTCTGCATGGAGTTTGCATGTTCTCCCTGTGCATGCGTGGGTACTCTCCGGGTCCTCCGGCTTCCTCCCACAGTCCAAAAACATGACTGTTAGGTTGATTGGTCTGTCCAAATTGTCCTTAGGTGTGAGTGTGTGTGTGTGTTAGGGCTGCACGATATTAGGAAAACCTGCGATATTCGATAACAGTGCTTAATATTGCGATATCGATATTACTCACAATAAATGAACAAATACTAAAGTATGCAGTGTTGATGTCGTCTGGCGTGTGCTCTGGGTTCAAAGCAAACAAAAACTAATGCATGAATTCCATTACAACATAACATTTTTATTGAAAAAAATATGCTGCTGCACCTGCTACTGTATTAGTAGCAAAACAACAAACTGCATGCATGCAGTTTCTCAGTGACTTTAAAACATCACCTCCACCATAAAACTTTTTCTGATGCTCCAAATACAGAAAAACATCCCTTACCAGGGATTTTTGAATAAATAAAATCAGAAAATAAGTTTAAATGTTAAATAATAGTTAACATCACTCAAATACAACAGCAAATTCTCTCGTTGCTACTGAACATTTTCTCCACTTATGTGGTTATGATATAAGGCTGTTGCTGCAATTGGGAAGTGAACTGTGCCGGGCCAAACTAGGAGAATATTAAGGTTTTCTGAGGGAAAGAGAAAAACAATTGTCTACCTTTCAGAAGAGGAACTGGCAAAAACCTACATGGAAAATATGTGAAAACGTTTGTTTTTAACCCCAAATTGAACAGGTTTGCCTAGATCTTAAACAGCAGCTCAGATGATGAAACTGCAACTATGATTCTGGTAACAAGCTAACAAATTGAACTAGCTTCTCTAAGATAACCGGCTAGCAGGCTAGCAGAGCTTCTGACTGACAGTTTATGTGCAGCAGCAAATCAACTATCCTGATTAACAAGGTTATAAAAGCTCATAAATGAAAAATCACTTTGATGTGTGGGGGAACTTTTCCAGGCCCTCTTTAGCAGGGTGGGACTGGGAGGAGAGTGCTGTAGCCTTTTAGCTGGAAGCTAGCCGGAGCCACCACCCGGTGGACCACTAGCGACATGGAGGTAGGTGGGTTGGTTCACCGGCACGTGTCGGAGTCAGCCCGGTTATTATCAGCTGCTTAACGACACCAAGCGGACTCGCGTTCACGTTTGAAAGCAGCGCTGAATCCAAAAACATCAGCACAAAGTGCGTTCGTTGCTCTGAGCCAGCATGACGAACAAGGGAACGGCGCCGCTAACTCAGTTTGGGTGTTGCTTTCTATCCTAAGGGTCTACGTAGGGGGCGGGCGTATTACGTGAACGGACCCATCTGATTGGCCGCATATCAGAAGGACTACATTTGATTGGTCAAATAATACTTCCGCGTAAAAAACAGAGCTGGTTTACAAAAAGGTGATGTATGACACGGATGGAAATGTTTGAACCAAACATTTATCGCCGTTTTTGACGTGCTTTGCGATGGGCCTATCGCACGTCCTGTTATCGCGATGACGATAATTTTTCGATATATTGTGCAGCCCTAGTGTCTGTGAATGTTTGTTTGTCCTTTGTGTCTCTGTGTTGCCCTGCGATGGACTGGCTCTCTGTCCAGGATGTACCCTGCCTGATTGCCCCTTGACCGCTGGAGATAGGCACCAGCCTATGTGTGTTTTTGCAAAGATTACAGGATGGTGGCATAAAGTGGGTGTGGGGACAGTCTCTGTGCTCCTTAAGATTTTTAATGAGTCGCTCCAAAAGGTGTTTGTCCTTCACACTCTCACCTGAACTGTCTAGCAATCTAAGCTTCAGGTCTAAAGGCCAGAAGCTCTGGATTACTACATTGCTCCTGTTTGCCATCTCAGCTGATATCAATGACTGCCCGCATTTACTTTTATTTTCATTATTCATGTTTTTCCTGTAGATTTCATGTAAAAGTATGTTGGGTATGTGTTAAGTCTTACATGAATAGGCTAGTGGAAAGGTATTAGTTAGCATGAATCCATGTGTGCTGAATTAATTTTAAAGTATGAAACAGCTATGACGTAGAGCTGGACAATATGGCCTGAAATTAATATCACGATATATTGAGGATTTCACCTCGATAATGATAAATGGACGATAACTACAGGTACGCACAGAAAAAAAAGTTGTCCACTAGATGGGGTTGTCACATTTTTACGCGACTCAAGGTGGTACAGCTTGTTAAAGGGGCATGATTGCTACCAACCTACACACATCTTTTCATTTGTTTATTGTCACATTTATTGACATGGGAAAAATTATCCCAATAAGAGGCAGAAATTTTGATAACGATAAATTTTTCATTTATTGCCCAGCCCTGCTATGACATGAGAAAAATAAACCTAAACAGTAAAAAAAATGCATCATAAATTGTGGTAATTGTGGTCATCATAGCATTCATTTAATAATGGAATTGTAGGATCCTTAATTTGAATCGAATCGTAAGTAGGGTTGGGCATCGAGCATCGATTGGAACTGAGACCAACTGTTAGTTTTTCTCGGGATCGTTCAAAGTTTTTTTATTTCGATTCCTGGAATGCCGACCGGAAGAGGGAATCGGCGGTCGATCTCTGTGAAAAATAATTGTGATCTGCAAACTGTGATCAACACTTTCCAGAACTGATCACACCAGCTGTCTGTGGGCAGCACAGAGTCCCCCCCTCCCACCACCTGGTGCGCAGCGGCCAAATATAAGCAAACGTGTCTGCCGAACTTTTACTCTCAATCTTTTTGAATCAGGATTTCAATATGGACCAAAATTAATTATTACCGTACGTGTTTTTCTCTATAATTAAGCAGACAAACAATTGTATTTAAAAAAACAAGAAAAATATAATTTTTATGTTATTTATGTAAACAATCCACCTACTGCATCCTTTGAAAGTGTAAAGAGAATACATTACAATGCAGGACTTGGAGGGGAAAATTAAAAGATCAAGTCGTCAGTGTAACTTACTTGGAAAGTGAAACTCCTCCTGCTTTCCCAATGAGCTCTTCGTGGTGGAGGACAGCATTATCCCAAGAAATGTTGAGGAATTTCAGCAGAGTCCGCATCCACTTCTCAGGATGGAGAACCAGTTGCTCATAGTGTACAGGCAGGCATTTGTCCGCTGCCTCCAGGCACTGAGTGTACATAGTTTCTATAGCCCGATTCCACTTGGTCAGGCAGTCACGGTAGCTACCTAGGTCAAAGCCTGCAATGGTCACTTTCCGTGAGATCATAGAGTGAACTGAAGCCCGTCCATCACGAATCATTAGCACAAACTTGGCACGAGGAAAAATCTTGGCCAAGTAAGAAAGCGACTTAAGTGCAAAGGGGTCTTTATTGCAGAGGAAGTTGGCAGGCTCGCCGTGCTTGACGATGATTTCCAGCAGAAAGGCCTGCATGGCGGCATCCAGAACCTCATCTGTCACACCAGCCTCATCAAGCCGCATCTTCTCTCGACCCGAACGACTCCACATTTGCTTCATGGCCAAAATACGTGGAATGACACGTGTTTCTTCACCACAACGCACATCTGGGTGAGCATCAAGCATAGCTCTCATAAGGGTTGTCCCACTTCGGGGTACACCACCAATAAAGATGAGTGGCATGTCTTTGTTATAAACAAAAGGTGTGCTGAGATTCTGGCCTGTCCGTAAGGTGGTCCGCATACTGCCTCCCAACGCCGATAGCGGCAGTACTCCACCTGGCTGGCTGCGCTCCTCAATGCGATGATGACACTCCATGGCGTGGCGGCCCAGGTAAAAGACCGTCACCGAGCTGATGACCAGACAGGCCACCAACAGGTTCTGTTTCAGTTTGCCAATCATGCCTAAGATTAACAGGTTTGAATGATATCACCACTGGGGCAATTTAGGGGTAAGCATGGGGGAATGATTTTAAGGACAGTTATTGTTTACTGGATATATGGAATGGATCAGGCTCCCTGGTACACAGCAGGTGTCGAGTCCCCAGCTCCATCAGCCCTGGATTGTGATAGAAAACACAAAGAGCACACTTAGCTCAGATTCATATAGAAGTCCAAGATTGGTATTGCTAACAAATAAATTTGCACAAAATCAAGTTACCAGCATATACCAAAATAACCAAATGGGCACTACTGTATCCAAATCAAAGCATAGCAGAAAACAAAATATTAAGTTTTTTGCCAAGTGAGAATACAACATCTGCCTGACTGGCCATCCGATTTCAGCCAAGCACAGCTTGACCCAACACAATGATGACAAAGGAAACGCCACCAGAACGAGCTCCATCCCACACTTTTATACTGAGACACAACTACTGTAGGTTTTGTTCACTGGAACTAGGGATGGGTACCGAATTCGGAACTTTTTAAGGTACCGACCGAATTCCATAGTACCAACCGAGCACCGATTCACGTCATTTCAAACGGTACCTCGTTTCGGTACCCGTCCATCATAACGAGAGCTTGCCAAGACAGCTGCGCATGCGCAAGAGCGTTATGTCGTCGCTCGCTGTGAACCAGTTGTAAACAGAGCAGCGCTGTAGAAAGAACGCACACTAAAGCTTGGGTCCACGTCACTAAATGTGATGGGTAACTGGGTGATGATGAAACCAGCGACAACGATCTAAGTGAGACATCCTCGTCTTAATCTGCTCCGGTAGGTAAATATAATTAGCTTGATATGTTAGCTTCCGTTTTGCTAATGGTGCGTTTGCTTTCTCCTCGGAACTCCGAATTCCCGACTAGAAGAACATGAACGCGCTCTAAAGTTTGGCTTCACTTTACTAAATGTGACGGGTGAAGACGAAACCAGTGACAACGATCTAAGTGTGAGGCATCATCGTTTTAATCTGCTCCAGCAGCTAAATAAACTGTTTAAGATAATGTTAGCTTGGTATGTTAGCTTCCATTGCTACCGTTGTTATCAGCTAATGGTGCGTTCGCCTTCTCCTCGGAAATTCTAACTTCCCAGTAGGAAAAATCAAATGAAAAAAGACGGCAAAAGGAATGAAGATACACAGTAAATTTAGTTCACAGTAAAGATGTTTGCTTCAGTTTAATTATCAGCTTATAAAACTACAAGGACGATGTTAAAATACAAACAGTTGTATGTTATTTATCGTGATAATTATCAAATATTGTTATATATTGAGAAAAATATATATTTAATTATAAAAGAGAATTAAAATAAAAAACACTCAAAAGTATCGAAAAATGGTACCGTTAAGTACCGGTATCGATTCGTAGGTACCGGGAATTAGTACCGAATCGATTCAAATGTCAAAGGTAGCCATCCCTAACTGGTACAGAAATTATTAAAAGTTCACAGATGAATGAATTACTGTAGAACTATTCAGGGGTCCAATTAACCAAATACTTTCCATCTTGACAGGTAAAAATAGATTCGTTTTTGTGCACCCTATTAGTCAAAATGACAAACAAGAGGCTACAGCAACCACTTTGAAGCTCTAATTCAGTTTCAGCTCAAGAACACAATTTTATAGTTTTACAGCCACAAAAATACAATTTGCTGACTTTTTGTTCCCATTTGTCATTATTTGTGACATTTTATATATAATATATTATCTATTGAATTGCCTAAATTATATTTTTCTACCATATAATATTGTAATTAATAAAACAGAACTCAGAGAATTAGAAAAATGAAATAAACTGACCCGATAGGGCCCTGCTGGCGCTGCCGACTGTCTGAACTCATTCAGCATGTTAAAGACATGATGGCCAACAGGCTCTGTCAGCACTGTTCAGCAGCAGTGGAAACAGCATCACAATGATACAGCCTGTTGTTCACCACAGCAAAGGAATTAATCCAGTGTAGCATCTTTCAGGGCTGTATGGATGCATCTATCCAGAACAACACACAGACATCCTTGTTTTGTTTCTACAAGATTAGATTTGTCTAGAGATATAAAGCCCACTGTGATGAAACGAGACAGACCTCGTACAGAAGTTACATTGTATTGTAAAATAATATTCAGTGCATCACAATGTGGACACGACTACTTTATTAAGGGTAATTAATGATGCTAAGTTGAGGCAGAACATATGAGGAGGTGCTGCACCTGGATTGTTTGTGAGGAGAACTTAACACAGTCTGAGAAAGATGCACCAATTTTTGTTTTCTACTCTCATCACAACTTTCTGATTTGTAATTAAATCCCGAGGATCGTAAAGATTCTCATCCCTAAAAGTCAGTCATGATCACTGTAATAAAAATGAACTTGTCATCTGTTGTATAATTGCTTTATATAAGTTATTGATCACTACTGTTTGTCAATCACACTTATCATGAGGATGTAATCAAGGGTAATCATGGTAGAGCCGAACATAATGTGATCATGAGGATGTAATCAAGGTAATCATGGTGGAGGTGTGCAGCTTTGCACGCACATCAGGGAATGTATAAGGAGCAGAGCAGGGCTCAGGGGGGTTAGAGCTGCTTGAAGGATTCTACCTGACGAGGTTCATGGATTACATGTGTTCAGTTCTTCACCTATCATGGATTACGTTTTCTAACTGGGGTGTTCAGCTCTCCACCCATAAGCAACGGTAAGAAAAATGTTTCGTTCATGATTGATAACTTGTATGAATGCCGGTTGAATAAAGCCTTGTTGTTCATCTGATATTCAAGTTGTGTTTCATTGTTTCTGGCGTCGACTTGACAACGATCCTGACTAAATAAATATAAAGTGTAAAAAGAGACTTTGAGTCTTTTAAGGTAATTAAAATAAAATAAAACATTTTATTTTAGAACATTTTTGGCGTCACGAACAGGATCAGTCAAGCTATTCCAGCAACAATGAAGTGTTTTTGGAGAAGCAAAAAGGAGCCGAGTGCTTCTGGGGAGGGAACGCCGATTCCCGTGCCGATTCCCGGCTGGGAAACGGAGGAGTTCCGAACCATTGGTGATATGTTAAGGCAGCGCGGTGGACGCCCTGGGCCGTGGGGAGAGTTAAATGGAGTGGTCAGCCCCGCCGTGGTGCTGGACCGTTTGACGCGGATAGAAGTTAAAGAAAAAGCGCCGCTGGCAGGAGTGAGAGATATGATGTGGCTTTTTGCAGAAGCATGGAAAAAACAGGAGTTAGAATTGAGCAGTTGTAGAGAGCGAGCGGCGCAGGAGAAAATCCATGCTGAAGAAGTTGGAAAATCATGCTCAGAGTTTGAGCAGAGAGTGTGTGTGATGGGGAAAGAGCTAAAGCATGCTCAGAATGTTTTGGATAAAACGCTGACTTTTGTGTCTCGAGCGCAAAGGAAGGAAAAGAAGCGACCTCGTAGAACAGGTCCTGCTCAGATCCGGGCGTTTGTAAAGAATGTTGGTGAAGATTGGAACCCGGAGAAATGGAACGGGGATCTTTGGGGGGATGATGAGGAGGAGGAGTGGGCGATTAAACCTGACCCACCACCTCAGCCCTTGTATCCATCATTACAGGGGATAAAGATGTCAGAACAAAGACCTATTACTAGGCGTCGGCGAGAACAGCAAATTATTCCACCAATACTGGTAGATATGGTGGATGATCAGGGACGGCCGGAACTCGATGAGGCGGGTAATATAAGAAGGATGTTACAACAGCAGCCACAACCCGCCCCTAGGCTGCTAACAACGCTAGAGGATTATTCACAAGATGAGTTAAATCACATGAATGGGAAGCTGAAACAGCGCCCAGGCGAACCAACTGACTCCTGGCTTAATCGCCTTATGGAGGATGGCGCGTGTGATATAGCCATAGATGCCGGTGATGCCATGAGATTTTCAGGATTAAGTACTGATGCACAGATAAATGCTGAATACCGGGCTACAGTCCGGGCATTGCCAGCTGATGAAGATTTCAATGTGGGGGATGCATATGCTCTGGCATGTCATGTAATCTATCCTACCACGGCGGACTGGTCTGAGATTAAAGGGCAATGGCAGACAGTGAGAGATGCCATTCAGCGGCTCACCAGACTCACTATTAGAGAGCAAGTGGCTCGAAACGGGGGAGCTGGAGTGGTGGACTGTAACATCTCTAAGGCAACTAGAGATCACCTCATCAGACATGCCCCACCACATTATAAACCCATGGTGACCAGCTTGTTGTTTGGCGCGGCAGACCAGACTTTTGCCGCGATAAAAGATCGTCTTGGCGAACTCACCACGCTGGGTGATTGGTCTGAGACGAGGAGAGAGGGAGCTAGAACTGAAAACAAACCCAGGATTGATCCACATTCAAGGGGTCGTAAAGGGGGGGCAATGGGCCCCTCTAGAACAGATCTGTGGAGGGCACTGCGACAAGCGGGAGTGCCGTTTGAGGAGATTGATGGATTGCCCACTAATGCATTGATGGAGAAATGCAGCCAAATGGGACTGAAGGTCCATTGTCAGTTCAGACATTGTCCTGAAAAGGACGACAGGATGTCTGTGTCAGAATTGGCTGGAATGTTGCAGAATGTGATCAGGGAGGTGGCGTCGAAGCCTGCTGAACCTTCCGCCCCTCCCAAGGAATCTTCAGAGGAGGAGAGTTCAGATGAGTGTTATCAGGTGGCGGCAGTGAAGCGTAGAAAGGAAAAACAGCACTGAAGGGAACATGATGATGAATAGGATGAAGGTCAAGCTCGGGTTGTTGCCAGTGCCTCAGGATGGTCAATAAATGATATCAGACCACATGTGGAATTACAGATTTATTGGAAAAAATCAGTACAGACAGTAATGGCATTGGTTGACACTGGGGCGGAGGCCTCGGTAATTCATGGCAATCCTGATAAAATAAAGGGAAACATTGTACCTTTGATTGGACTTGGGGGGCAGATGTTAGTAGGAAAGGGAGTAACTTTGCCCTTAAAAATAGGAAATCAACCTATTAGAAATTACAGTGTAGTAGTGGCTCCTGCAAGGGAATGGATTATTGGAATGGATATATTGGCCGGAATGACTCTTCATCTGAAACATGGTCGATTTTGTTTTGGTATAAACAGAATCCACACCATTTTGGTAGGCAA